TGCTTATGCCAGCACAAAACTTAATGACAAAGACTATCTAGTAGCAGACAGAGTTGGAGGAAATACTCCTCTTGTGTTGTAGAAAAATAGAATGATTTATGTGTTTTTATATTTATAAAGAATATATACATATTCTTTCATGAAAAACAGCATAGCAAAAATATTTTTCCTGCTTAGATTCAAGTCTCATTTATGGCTTTTTGAGGTAATGATACATTCTACAGCGAGTTTTTCCAATACTTATATGGTTGCCTTTAATGCAAATTTGAATTATCTAAATTTGAAATTAAACAATACAAAAAATGATGTTTTAATTTTTAGGTAATAGAAACATCCTGGTGCTAAATGTCATCAACACTCATATAACTTCAAAGCTTGCCATTTAGTGAATTGCAGACTCTGTTTACTACTTTTCCTCCTTGGGTCTGTCACATTATCTGGCAAATGAATCCTTTGTTAAGATGCATTTTGAATTATGCCAATTTGAAATGACATTAGGTCACTTGGATAAAATGCTAGTCTTTTAACTAAACCAAAACTCCTTACACCCAGAAACTTTGTTATTTTGTTATTTGGTTATTTAGTTATTTAAGGGTAGTCAGAGGCTGAGTTCTAGTCCTGCTTTTGTTCCTGGCACATTTTCTGAACTTGAGAGTCATTTATTTATTTTTTTTTTCAACGTTTATTTATTTTTGGGACAGAGAGAGACAGAGCATGAACGGGGGAGGGGCAGAGAGAGAGGGAGACACAGAATCGGAAACAGGCTCCAGGCTCTGAGCCATCAGCCCAGAGCCTGACGCGGGGCTCGAACTCCCGGACCGCGAGATCGTGACCTGGCTGAAGTCGGACGCTTAACCGACTTCGCCACCCAGGCGCCCCTTGAGAGTCATTTAAACTGTATGGGTCTCACTTTTTTTTTTCTCTGAGTTTTTATTTAAATTCCAGCTAGTTAACATACAGTGTAATATTAGATTCAGGTATACAATTTAGTGATTCATCACTTACATATAACACCCAGTGCTCATCACAAATGCCCTTCTTAATGCCTATCACCCATTTAGCCCATCTCCTACCGAGTTCCCTTCCAATAACCCTCAGTTCGTTCTCTATAGTTAAGAGTCTTTTTCTTGGCTCACTTTCTTAATAATGTACATCAAAAGGTTGGGCCAGAGGTGGGTCTTTAAAACTCCCTGTGGCTCAGAGACTTATTCTGAGTGTTCAGTGGGGATGAAAATTCTGCAAATATCATCTTCAGATAAATTAATCTCACCATATATAATGTATGTATATGTATGTGAACCATAATTCATGTGGCTACTATTATAAAACTATCATAACAATGAGCAGAAAAAATTAATTGAAAGCAAGTGGGGTATATTATTCCTATTGAGTACAGTAACCATTTTCTGAGGACTGAGACCTTTACCCTGTGAGAAATTCCCATGGGATTATGTAATGCCAAGTAGTACTTACTGAATTCAGTCAGTTTTCATCTTATCAGCCTTCTCAGCAGCAGTAAGAATTACGTTTTATCCATGGCTTTTCCAAACCTGGAATTTTTCTCTTTTATTTTCATTTTCTTTGTCAATCTCAAGGTTATGACATGGTATTTTAATATAATTTGGCATTTGCCTTTCCCAGAAGACTTACAGGATTGAGCATCTTTTCATTTATTCTGTGAAATTACTGTGCTTTTCTTATGCCCATTTTCCCATTGTTTGTCTTGTTTCTTATCGATTTATCAGAGTGCTTTGCATATCCTGGATTGTAGTCCTTTTTAAAATAATATGGCATGAGAATATTTTGTCACAATTTTTATTTATATTATTTCTGTCTTTATGATATTATTGATGAACAGGTGTTCCTAATGTTAATGTGGTTGAATGTATTGATATTTTATTAGTGCTTTTTGTGCCTATTTAATAGGTCATTCCATAATTGAATATCTTACTTTCTTATTTTACAAAAATTTTACAGATTTGCCTCAGTAACTTATATCCTTAATGCATAGAGAATTGATTCTTGTAAATGATGTAGAGATCCAATTTCACTTTATTCATATAGATAACCAGCACCATTTATTGACTAATCTGTACTTTGCTTATTTAATGGCAATGCCTTACTTGATATAGACTATTTTCATATATGCTTAAGACTGTTTTTAGTTTCAGTATTTTTATTCCTCCTTTTTTTTATTAAAAAAATTTTTAATGTTTTTATTTATTTTTGAGACAGAGACACAGCATGAGCAGGGGAGGGGCAGAGAGAGAGGGAGACACAGAATCAGAAGCAGGTTCCAGGCTCTGAGCTGTCAGCACAGAGCCCAACACAGGGCCCGAACTCACGGACTGTGAGATCAGGACCTGAGCCAAAGTCAGACGCCCAACTGACTGAGCCACCCAGGCACCCCTTAATTCCTCCTTTTTTATTTATCCTAATGTACTATCTTCATTACCATAATTTTGTAATAAATGTCCACCTTTTTTTTTTTTTTTTCAACGTTCATTTTATTTTTGGGACAGAGAGAGACAGAGCATGAACAGGGGAGGGGCAGAGAGAGAGGGAGACACAGAATCAGAAACAGGCTCCAGGCTCTGAGCCATCAGCCCAGAGCCCGACGCGGGGCTCAAACTCCCGGACCGCGAGATCGTGACCTGGCTGAAGTCGGACGCTTAACCGACTGCGCCACCCAGGCGCCCCTAAATGTCCACCTTTACATAAGAAAGTTCCTTCATCTTTCTCTGGTATAGCTTGGCTATTTGGGGCTCTTTGTTTTTCCCCTAGAACTGGTAGAATCATCTATTCACATTCATTTAAAAATTTCATATTTTTAATGGAATGTCATCAAATCTATAGATCTGTTTATATATGTTTAAAAGACTTACTGTCCCAGTACACAGAACCCTGAAATACATTATTAAATCCAAAATTTCTCTGCAGATTATTTTGGTCTTTCAATTCATACAATAATATTTGCTAATATGAGTTTTTTGCTTATAGTCTTCATAATGCTTATATATTTTTCCTATCTTCCTACATTATTTATGACTTCAAGTACAGTATGTTGATAGTAGGCATCCTTATTCTGACCTTAAAGATAATATTCTAGATTTCCCAATGAAGTTGACATGTGCTATTTGTTTTAGATTGTTTATCACATTTATTACATTAGACAGACAAGAAGGAAGGCATCTGCCATTCCTCATGCCTACCAACTTTGCTAGATGCCTATACATGCATTATCTCATTTTATCCTGCCAGACTGGCGTAACTGACCATTTTCAGAATCTGAGACTTGGAAAGATGCATAACTGTCCTTCCAGTGCAGTTAGCAAGTAGCCAAGCCAGGATCTAATTTCATATTTTGACCTACTCCCCCCCACCCCCCACCTTCAGTATGTCACAAATATTTAGTTGTGCTAATTCCCAGTATCAAGCTACTTGCCATAGTGAACTGACCAGGGATGTAGACACCCGGACTGTAAACTTTCAGAGATAGGAATCCTGTCAGCTTTGGCCACTCCATTATCCCCAAGGACTAGGACTGGGCTTAACACTTGGTAGGTGCTCAGCCAGTATTTTGAGTGTATGAATGGGAGGGGACCTCTAGCATGGCTTGCATTGTCCTTGTTATGGTTCTGCCTCAGAATGTGATGGGTTTGACTTGACCACTAGTTGTCACTAATAACTTACTAGTAGGCAGTGACTATTCTTCAAGGGCTCACACTCCCTTGTTGAAAATCCCTAGGTGCTTACTTGTTAGGTGCTTACTTAGTGCCATGCCTTTCCGACCTGTACCCACTTGTGGCACTGTCTGCATCCGAAGAGTCGGGTCATCAGGCTTTGGTGAGCTGAAAGCTTGATTTGAGCTCTGATGCAAGGATGTGAGCTATTTCACTGTCAGATGAATTAGCTCTGGGGTAAAAACCTATTGCCAAGGGTAAGCCCCTTTTTGATATGAACCCTCCAGTAGACAGGGTAGAGATGCTATATTACCAACATAACAGATTAGATTTGCCAGTACCACTTATAATTCTGTGTTTATAGTTTATCAGAAGCTGATTCCAGACCATATTGTGTCTTTTTTCTTGGCGCAATACCATCACTGCCTAGGAAGTCGAGGAAGCTTTGGCTTACACTCTTCCTTTCAACCAGTGAAAGAAGACTGATTTTTCCAAATACCCACTTTATGGGTTGATCTGTCTGACATCTTGCGGGATCCACATTGTTACTTGTAAAAATGGTAGAGACAGATATAAAGAAAATGTTAAGACTTCATTTACATGCTATTCCCATGTTGATGTGCTGGAAATTTTACCAGTGTCATAAAAGCCAGCCCTACCATCTGCTTGGTGAGATCAGGGAATGAATCAACAATCCAGCAGACTCCATTAAACTCCATCCAGGGAGGAAAAAAAAAAAAAAAAAAAAGAATGCACATGCTCTGGAGGAGATCTATTTACTCCCAGACCAAATTCTATTTTTTTCTTTGCTCTCCCCTTACCAGATAATTTGTCATGGTTCCTCAGGGATGAAAATATTTGGCTCTTCACTGAGAAGATCTTTGAATATAAATGTCTCACTGAAAATTAAAATAACGCCGCAGTTGGATGGCAAGAATGTTGCAAACACATTGGAACCCATTGTTGCCAGCAGAGTAGAACCATCCAATATGCATTTATGGTACCTGATTCATGCCCTGAAGATATCACAGAGCTACTTTCTCTGACCAGAGCTCTTGCAGTGATACTTAAAAATTAATTGAATTTTCAAGAATGTCAGCTTTAGCTATTCCAGTTGATGGCCCAATAGCTTAAGAGGCTTATTAAAAATATACTGCCACCTACAGTACCATTTGACTCTGTTTGACAGGGCTCTTGTCATGAATGTTAATTAGATAGAGTTAATTTGGGGGCTGATTGATTTTGTTTGTGTTAAGGTCTGCTGATTTACATAGTATATTTCTTTACTTATGCATGTGTATATTTGTTTTCCTCTAGGAAAAGAAGAATATATTGCCACTTTCAAGGGATCTGAATACTTCTGCTATGACTTGTCTCAAAACCCCATCCAAAGCAGCAGCGATGAAATAACTCTGTCCTTTAAAACTCTTCAGAGGAATGGACTGATGCTTCACACCGGGAAATCGGCTGATTATGTCAATCTTGCCCTGAAAAATGGAGCTGTTTCTCTGGTCATTAATTTGGGATCAGGGGCCTTTGAAGCACTAGTGGAGCCCGTGAATGGAAAGTTTAATGATAATGCCTGGCATGATGTGAAAGTCACCAGGAATCTGCGTCAGGTAACAGCGCAGTGGATAAGAGAGTTACTGGCTTTGTTTCTCACTACAGCTGTGTGTGTGGTACTTGAAAATCCTAACAACATGATGCAGGGCTCCTCAGAGTCGCTTACAAATTAGCTTTTTCTTCTTCTGAGATGAATCTTCCTGCCATACTTGAGCAGGGGCATATCTAGAAAGTTCTGGGGGCCCAAAGGCTATTTTAATACAGCGACATGTGACAATTGCCCAGATCGCTGCAAGGATATCCCTGCGACCTGCCCTTCCTGTGATGTGTGTGATTTTGTTGGTTTTTTTAATTTTTTTTGTTTGATTTTAAATTATAGTTTTCATGGTGATCATTTGGAAGCATGCACATTGGGGTCATTAAATCACAGTTCCTTTTTTGTAGTAAAAAAAAAAAATTAGTGTGTTTGTGATTTGGGATTGTATCAATCCCTACTCCCTCCCCACCTCCACCTCTGACATGGGGACGTGAAAAGCCCCTCAAGGGGAAAAATGACTTTGGGGGCCTATACATCTCCTGAAGATTCTGTTTATGAAGGTTTTTTTTTAATTTTTTTAGCACAGATACTTTAAATCCCAAATGGCTCCGGAGAGACCATTTCATCTTCTAGGTGCCCATTTCTGTTTGGTTGTATTTAAAAAAAAAATTCTTTCAAGAGTCTATATACTAGTAAAATATCAATTCTTTTAGTAAATCTGTGGGTCCACATATACTGTATGTTTTTAACTGAGGCATCTTATTACAGTATATCTATCTGTATACACAGATGAAAGTAAATAGATTGTCCTTTTATATTGAACATTATAAGTTTGGGTTATTATTTGAAATTTTATATTACAATGTGTCATTTTGTTAAGTGTTGACAGTGACTAATTTTTCTGCAGTACGTGCTGATCTCAAACTAATATCCTTAACATATTTGTTGTTTCTCTGAACAGTTGGAGAATGACCGGATTGTCTCTGGTTTTCCTTTACTAAAACAGCCCTCTCTTTCTGAGCTGTTAACCATCTAACATTTTCTTTCCCGCTTCTGAAAGGCTTAAACTATCCAAACTAGAGAGGCAAAAAAAAAAAAAAAAAAAAAAAAAAAAAAAAAAAAAAAAAAAAAAAAAAAAAAGGCATTTTAGGAGTGCAGACTTAGTTTAGCTAAGGCAGACAAGTAAAACTGAAGGATTCTTGAGACCCTCAAAGACCTTTCAGAGGCCTTCTTGGCATGGGAGGGGCCCTGCATGCTTCACACCTGCCCTGGGAGTTAGTCGCCCACCCTCAGTGCAGCTATAGACCAAAGATTTCCTATAAGTCTGTCTCTTTGGTTTTCCTTTTTTTTATTTTTTCTCTCAGATTCTCACCAAGAGACCGGAGGCTCATTTGAGAGAAGCGCAGAAGGAAGGGTGGGGCTTGAGGAGCCCACTTTCTAGATTTGCCTTTGCTCAGGTTACAAACCAAACTGTGAATTGGTAGTTCAAAGGAAACTGGTTATACAGCTGGGGTGCATGTGTGGCAGGACAGATTAAAAACAAATCCATTCTACTCATTCTATGTGTCAGGATCTTTGCTTTGTTTCATTGCAGTAAACTGTGACCCTAAAGTCCATCAATATGACCGAAGGAAGTTTTGAAGTTGAGGAGGAGTCCTTGTATGCTGTAAAATTGAGTAGCAGGGCAATGCCAACCGATTCCTATGAATTTGCTGGGGCTGGGTGGGCCAGGGTGGGGGAGGGATCACTTACGGGCATAAGGTGGCAGTGGTCAGCTGATGAGCTTTAGGCCTTTGAATCCCTTTTAGACTTTTTAAATGACCTTCAGATGTACTCAGGGAGACAAAGGGAACGTTGCCATGTGTCTGTTTCTATCTAGTAGCAAGTTACGAACAATGCTGGCAGGAAAAATATTACCTCTGTGGGAGGCCTATTTGTTAGTCTGCTTTTTTCTTGTAAAATTTTTTTGCCCTTTTTCTATGTTACTAACATGCTTAATAACTAACATGTCATTCATGGAATGTTTCATTCTACTAACCGTTACCTGAATCAAAAAATGTACTAACATGGTAGAGACCATCATATTTTTTAAGTAACGATCGTTATTCTGTTCACAGTTTTTAATTTCCTTTCTCCCCCCTTCTCCACAAAGCACTCAGGCATTGGACACGCTATGGTAAACAAACTACATTGTTCGGTAGATATCATTCTAATTGTTTCTTATTTTGGGTTTGCCGTGTGTTTTCTTTCTTTCTTTTAACTGTAGACATCATTAACAAAAGAGGAACTGCGGTTGGTACTCTTCTGCTTACTTTGACCTCCTTCTTTTCATCTGTTGTTGACCTTCTTATTTTTTACCTGTTCCTGTCAACTTCTGTTTTCCAACTCACCTGTAGGGGCATCGTTAACGTTTCGAACGTTTTGCATCCAGCTGTGGTTAACACGGGATAAGACAAAATGGTGGCTGGCCCGAGTGACCGCAAGCTCAGCCAGTCTCTAACCATTCATGATGCATGGCATGCCCACCTGATTTGGGAATGTTGGAGATGCCACACCCACTCATCTTTACGTCATCACAAAGCAGTTGTTTTTTTTTGTTTTTGTTTTTTTTTCCTTTGGTTCTCCCTGTTTTCTTTCCTTTCCTTTCTGAACTGTACTGTCCCTCCTGCATGTGCACATCAGCGTGTGCTGCTTCCACTGGTTGTTTTGCCTTTCCTCCCCTTTGGCATGGATTTAGGCACTTGCATGCTGAACAACTGCTGCTCAATAGTGCAAATAGTGACGTTGCTGGAAATAGCTTGCGCCTTTTACGTTAACAAGGTGCACGTTGTGATTAGTGAATAACAGACAACTAAACTTTACTAATATGTACACCAGCAAAACTAACCTAGGAAGCATTTTACTAACACCATTTTTGTGTCTGCTAAATAACTTTTGAGTTGCAGTAGGGATGATGCTGACACTAGTCCAATAATCAGTTAACTCTCTAACTAGTTTAGATCTCTTAGGGCTAGTTGAATAGAATCCAAGAATAAACTTCAAACAGACATGAAAATGGGTTCCGCCATAGGTCTAAAAATAAAAACCAAACAAACAGAAAAAAAAAAAAAAGCAAAAACAAAATGAAAAAAATAAAACAAAACAAAACACAAAACAGGCATATCCCAGGATTACAGTATCTAGGTCTGAGTATAGCGTGTCCTTTCCCTGTGCTTTGTTATCTAGGTGACAATATCAGTGGATGGGATTCTTACCACAACGGGCTACACGCAAGAAGATTATACCATGCTGGGGTCTGATGACTTTTTCTATGTTGGAGGCAGTCCCAGCACAGCAGACCTTCCAGGGTCACCAGTCAGTAACAACTTTATGGGCTGTCTCAAAGAGGTAAATATCATTGTCACTGGAATCATTTCTAATCCATGATGCCATCATTTCAGATCTGGACTGAAAGCACCTTTGCTGAAGACCCAGTGTTTGAGGAGTCAAATGGCACAACCTTAAATTCAGTATTCTACTGTTGTTTATGTAGGACTGGGGGAGGGAGGCAGTTCAGAGAACATTATGAAGGAATTCAGTTCCTCTTCGTTAGTAGTCTCTAAGTCACAATTAAGATCTGCATGGGTAGTTGTGTATTAGCTATACAAGGAAGCCAAGCACAAAAAAATATTGGGTGTAGAGTGAAGTTAAATGCCTTGCTCATTTTTACTTAAATGTCTATGTGTTATTTATACAGTGGTGACTTGGAAAAAAAAATTAAAAATTCAGCTACAAGAGAGGCTGCATAAAACAAAAACAAATGAGTCTGTATGATGAGATGATTTTGTTCTTATGTTTTAAATGTGTTCTAAAGAAGTAAAGCTACTTCATTTGTTATCTGATAAGCATACTTGATATTTACCTGAGCCAAACTATCAGACTAAAAGATATCAGTAATTTCATCCCTCATTCTCAGCTGCCCTTATCTATTATAACTCTTGATAGAATTGGAACTTGGCGGGGTACAGGGAGAGAAAGATCGGGAAGTCCTTGAATTTCAACTTATATTAATATTTTTTCCATACAAGCTGCCTGTTTTCAATCAGGTACAACCCAGTTTCTTTTGGCTGCTAGAATCAGAGACTTCTGTTGCATTCTATGGCTGCAGTTTAATGGTATAGAGCTCCAAATGTAAAGTTGAATAACTTTGAATTTATGAATGATTTCCCATGGGTGCTATTTCTAAGCAGTTATATACTTTGGTTTATTCTAAGGAAAATATTCTAATCATATAAACTCGATTCAGATAAACATCAGTGAAAAACGGCCACTGCTTAAGTTATCCTTGCCTCCCTTCCATTTATGAATATATACTGGTTTGCCCAGTATGTGGATGTATATAGAAGAATCCTAAGAGGGATTTGAAAATGCTAGTCTTAACAAATATAAGGAGGTGCAGTTTTCTGAAAAGTTGAATTTAACCGTACTTTGTGGTGAGAGGGATTGATTTCTTCCCAGAGAATAACTTTTACCCTTAATAAATATGTAGCATGACCCAGGACTTTGCTAAGTTCTGTGTGCATAATAAAATAATTATTATTTTCATTATTATAATAATAGTACTGGCATATTTTGAACTCTTATTTTGTGCTTGCTGCTCTCCTAAGAGTTTTACAGGGATTTCCACAGTACAAGTAGTAATTTTATTATCTGCATTCTTCAGAGAAGGTATCAGGTTTTGGAGCAGGTAAGTTTCCTGAGCAAGTCTCACAGCTAACAAGTATTAAAGCCTAGAGCTTAATCAAAGAAATCTGATTTCAGACTCTGTTGTGTTCTTAACCACCTAATACGGTGTCCCAAAAGAAATGTCTGTTGGGGTCCCTGCCATAGGAGGCTGTGCAAACCCTTGAGTCTCTTACAAACAGAAACAGCTTTTGTAAATATATAATAGACTGTGATGAGGGACCAAATTGTGCGGCAGAGTTATGCCCTTTGGAGTCCAAGAGAATGAAATAATTAAGAGATCTAGTAGACAAGGAAGATACACAAAAGAGTAAGAATATGAGAGTCTTGATGGATGACTGTTTGGTATAGACAGGGAAGGGAGAATATGTTCCAGACTGGGGAGAAACATGGTAAAAAAAATAATAACTACATTTCATGATAAGATGCCTAAAATCCCTTTATGGTTAAGAGGACTGTGAAAGGGGTGCACAGAAGCACACCCCCACCCACCCCATTTCCTCACTGTCACTATGAACAGGCCAACCTAGAGTCAGTCCATAGGCTCTGCTTTATCTATGGAAAGTCAGTCCTGCTGTGGGCTAGAAAAAAGGAAAGGAGATCTAAGGGGATCTAAGCTTGAATGTAGCTAAAGAGCTCTTTGGGGTATTCAGTAAAAAACATGAGGTTTTCTGTAGTGAACACTCAGATTTAGCTGTAGTGAACACTCAGATTTAGACAACGAGTCTCGTTGTCTTCTGACAGTTCAGCGTGGCAGGACAACTTTTTGAGTGTAGGAAGCTGCAATGGATTGCTGTGATCTGAAATTATAGTTTCAGATTAAACTGTACTTCAGATTAATGTCTGTAATGTTTAAATGTTAATGAGTAGTAGATACACTTTAGAACTCATCTATTTTTAATTGGTTTTTCAATCACAAAAATCACTATAGCAAAAATAAGCCAAGTAGTCTTCCATATGACATTTAATTAGCCCCTCCTGAGTCCATGCAATGCAGGTTCACTCATGTCATTATCTCTACAGGTTTTGGATTGATATCATTCCTCCTTATTGGTTGGGTACCTCCCATGTCTCTCACTTCCATAACCTGGGGGATGTGTATAGAGCAAGTGCTGCCAGTTTGTTTTTGTTTTTGTTTTGTTTTTGATATGTTATCTCTTTCCTTCATTTCCTCCTGACATACTAGAGATACTAGAGGGTAGAAGGGTATAGGCATAATCAGCCTGTAAATGACAACATACTTTACTTGGAGGGCTTTTGGATGGGTCATAGTTTCCATCCATGTCTGAATTACTATTTAGAATGCCCTGCTCTTCCTACTTCTGAGATGAAATTGTGACCAACTGTCATAGATTTGGAGTTAAATCACCTCATTTCAGGTAAATGAGCTTTGTAGAGTTACTTCTTAAGAGAGAAACTGCCCATGTTCATTCTCACCACATGTGATAACAGTAAGCCCATGTAAACCTTCCTTAAGTTTCCATAAGCATTCTGCCCTGGGGCATATGGCACATAAAATTCGTTCTTCAATCTGTTGTGCAACCCTTTGAAGATGACTAATCCTGGGGCATATACTAGTAACACCATGTCTGAAGTCATAGAAGAAATTTTGGAGGGTTAGAATAAGAAAGATCCTGGAAATCATTCTCCAAGTCCAGTCTTCTTATTGTGGAAATGGAGAAACAGACCTAGAGTAGTCACCTGACCTACCCAAGAGCAATGAAGGGGTAACAGGAGTAGAACACAAAGTACTGTCAGATAAAAGAGAATATCTGAATGGCTGACTCTGTTTTACTGCAAACAGTGATCTCAAGACAAAAAGATGGCCTACCATACTCACTAATTCATACCTTCACTCTTTAAAGTGGAAAAAAAAAAAAAGACATTACTCAACATGATGAAACAACCCATAATCTAATGTTCATTCGAAGCAGTTAGGGCTTTCCCTGTATGGCATTTGAAATGAGACTAAGCTTGCATGTAAGACAACCAAGCCTCAGTAAGAAAAGTGTTGTTATACTTTAGTGACAATCAGATTTCAAACTGAAGTAAAATTAGCTTAACATAATTTGGCAAAACCTAACCTTAGTTTGTTGAGAGAGAGAGAGAGAGAGAGAGAGAGAGAGAGAGAGAGAGAAACCTTGAATGGCCAGGAATTTATAATAAGACAATCAAAGTATTTTTAAAAAATATTTAAATTTTCATCATAAGTAAATAAAAATGTCTTTAAAGAAATGTTTGAGCTCAGTGAAAATGACTTCCAGGGATATAAATTTGAGAATAAAGTACAAAATTGCAAGTAATAAATTACCATTATATAGCCCACATCTATGAGATTCCTAGAGGGTGATAGGTCTTTAAAAATATGCTTTGTAATCTGACTTTTACAAGAGCAATGCTAACTGTGCTTTGGCAGAAACATTTGTTTATATTTTTTGCATTTTTTATAACACTGAGTAAAGCTGAATTATATGTTGCTTAAGAATTGGTGCTCACTTGGGGCACCTGGGTGGCTCAGTCGGTTAAGCATCCAGCTTTGGCCCAGGTCATGATCTCGCGGTCTGTGAGTTCGAGCCCCACATTGGGCTCTGTGCTGACAGCTCAGAGCCTGGAGCCTGCTTCAGATTCTGTGTCTCCCTCTCTCTCTCTGACCCTCTCCCGTTCATGCTCTGTCTCTCTCTGTCTCAAAAATAAATAAACATTAAAAAAATTAAAAAAAAAAAAAAGAGTTGGTGATCACTTTAAGTTAAATTTAATTTTTCTAGCAAGCCATATTTGAGTGATTGCTACAATAGGAGAGGAAATTGGAGGAGCCTACAGAAAGGCAAATCACAGTATCAGAGTGAGATTCTTGCAGTCTATCTGAAGACACCTACAGTCCTGTCCATTCACATTAAACTACTTGGAAACTATTTTTCTGTATAAACGTATCCCAGTTGATTCCTAAGGTGCTCATTAGAAAATTTTTTTTTAATCTTCAAAGATAGATGAAAATCTCACTAATCCTTGTTTCTATCCCAATATTTTGACCATGAAGGCTTCTGTAGTAAATGACTTACAAGGAAGGATCATGCCACTCCCTCATTAATCTTGCCTGGGAATCTACCCCTGCTATTATGCATTTCTTAGTCTCTTTGTGCCTCCAAAAATGCTTTGAAACACCTATTTCCCTCCTGCGGTGAAGATTATTTAACAGAGTTTGTTGGTAGGGAAATGAAAGTGAAGAGGGAGGAAAGATAGGATTGTCTTCAATAAAACAACTTACAATCTTTTATTTGAAGTTTGTTTTTAGCCATATGTACCTGCTGGAAGTTTTCCAATCAGTTTGTTTGAGTGGAGATGCTACCTATGTGAGACAATTCAGAATGTCACCACTAAGTGATTTGGGATAAGCCTAAAGAAGGATTCTAGAAAAAAAAAAAAAAAAAATAGAGAAATGCTAGGGGGAATTAAATCCCTACTGAAAGTTTCATCAAACTAATTAGATCAGCTCAGCCTTTAATTACACTGAGAAGTTTTAGCGCTAAAAAATTTGGAAGCTGTTATGCGGTGGATGAGATTCAGAAAATATCCTCTTATGTAAGCATCCCCCCCACCCCATTAAAAAAATAGTTGATTCCTCCACATAATCAGCATGGTCCTCTCTGCCATTCACAGTGCAGCCC